CCGCTAAGGTCAGGAATGCGGAAGTACACACTGCAATGACCGTCCATTCATAAATTCGGACGCAACAGCTGTGTTTGCGATCACAGTGTGTCTAGCCAAGGACATTGTCGCCGACACTCGTAGAACTCGAACAGTTGTACTCTTGTTTTGTTTATGTTATTTTCCTTCTTGTATTTTCCAAATTAGTAGTTTTTAGTCTCTGTAGAATTAAGTTCTATACAAGTAAGATTAGATACAAAACATCAAAAAAGTGACAGTCACCACGAACTCTAGAACTCTAGATTTTGCTCAACGAATTATGCTGTGCCCTGCGTAATTCGTGTTTTTTTTGGTGTTCACTATTCTACTTCGATCTGAACTCATGAACAGGAGTTTCTACGAGCCAACTTCAAATAACTGTATTGACTCAACTGTTTTAGTAGTTTTTAGTCTCTGTAGAATTAAGTTCTATTACAAGTAGATTAGATACAAAACATCAAAAAGTGACAGTCACCACAAACTCTAGAAGAACTCTAGATTTTGCTCAACGAATTATGCTGTGCCCTGCGTAATTCGTGTTTTTTTGGTGTTCACTATTCTACCTCGATCTGAACTCATGAACTGGAGTTTCTACGAGCCAACTTCAAATAACTGTATTGACTACTGTTTTCCTCTTGGTTTCAACGAGGACATTGTAAAAACTTGAGGGGGAATAGTGTTACGAACCCAGAATGCTTGATTATGGAAATCTAGCGCCCTCTGTCCATGAAGTACACAATCTTATTGTTGTCTTTTGCTGTTCCCTTATTTTACCTAATTATCGTAAATTGCCAACTTGCACTTTTATTCCCAGGGTCTCTTACCAAGCACAGCGCATGATGCAATACCACGCGCGCTACTGCATTCATTATTCATGTAGCAAGGCACATGTGCGCGACTGACCACACCTCCCTTCGCCCCAGCGAGCTAAGTTCCTTTCCCCATAGCATGTGTGCTTTGGCGTTCTCCGAGAGACTGCTCAGCGGCACGGAGTGTTTCTCTCCCCCGTGTGTTACCCATGAACACTAACGGGAGTTCACGGTCCAGTTTTCCAGTCCCGTACTTAGCTCGAGGGAATGGAATGTTACCCTTGCGTTGTCGCGTAACGGGGCGCGGTAAGACATCCTGTGATGTAAATAACCTGTGACACAGTAACCTTTTAGCTTGTCACTCACTTCATCAAGGTTGCTTGAGATGTTGTGTAAACACTTTTGCACTCTGATCTCACTGTTTGCACACATCTCTCTCTGTATTTGCACACTTCTCTCTCCATGTTTTCCCTTATGTAAATGCACACGTTTCTAGTCTCTTGCACTAGGCACTCTTAGTAAACCATGTGACTAGTCATGTGATCCTTCGACATGGAAGATTACTATTGGTTAATTCCTAAATCAGTGCTCATGCATTATTTAATCTCGAGACTTCTACTGCCTATAAATACCGGAGGTTTTCCTCACTTTCGGCAGTGCGGCGAAGAGCGAAAACAATCTTAGATACAGTGGTCCTGTTCGAAAACATATTGCCACAAAATCATGGGGGCAATGGTGGCATGTTGCTAAGATCATGTTTTCCTTTATTAGCATGCGATCCTCATGTATTAAGTTTGCCTGTCTTAAACCTCAAGTCTCTTTGGGTTGACTTGAGTTGTTGCTAATCTATTTAGTTCAAAGCGACTCTGGAAGACCAATCTGAACCGGAGTTCTTCCTGATGATTCCCAGATAACAGATCTCATGGGAAAAGATGTTTTGCAGTCAAAAACAACTAAACAAAAAGAGGAATGCAGTGATAAGGAAAGAAAAATAGAAATTAGAGAACAAATCATTACAGTCAAATTATGCCTTAAATGATTTGTGACAAGTTAAATTGAGTCCATGGGCCTTGTACCATATGAGGTGGCAAAATGCAAGGTTTAGTTGCTATACATCTCTAGTTTATATTTTGACATGATTACCTTTGCAGCATGGAAGCTTATTATTGGTAATCAATCTCTGAATGATCAGACCCCCAGCATCTGCAATTTTTTTCTCCTGCAGGCTAGTAAAGTCACTTACATTCATGCGCATTGGAACAAAGTACATATCCTGTGAGTTAAAGTTTCTTTCTTCCATTGTGTCTAATCAAGTTCTAACCGACTGTTTAACCCAATCAGACTTGTAGTTCTCTAGAAATGACTTTAAAATGCACCTTTAGATGATGTCACACGACCCCTGATTATGTCATAATGACGTCACTCCTCAGGACACGTCTTCACAATGGGGTCTTTATCTTAGTTAAATTTTATGGGAATATGACTTTGTTTGCTGGATGAAAAATGTACTATGGGATTTGGGTTAGAAATGAAAACAAAAAAAATTACAAAAATTAGAACCAAAAAATAAAACAAAGGATTTTCCGCAACTATGCGGAAACGGCAACTAGACATGTCACGTGTTTGTCATGTGGACTAACACAGGGCTATTTTGGTTTTTTTTTTTTTTCTAATGCGTATTTAATGCGATCTGAGGCAATTTCTGACCACTTTAACCAATGTTTATTTGAGGAAAAGATGGTGGTGTACTCATTGCCTGCCTTTATTGCGATGTCATATACAAAAAAAATAAAAAATTGGTTTGGTTTGGGGGGGGGGGGGCATGGCCCCCTTTGGCCCCCCCCCTGGATCCGCCCTTGTGTATACATTGTATATATATGACCTTAAATACGATGTCATATGACAGGTAATAATATCATGATGACATCATGAGGATGTCTCTTCAATTTTAATCTATTACACTCCCCAGCTACATACCAAGTTATAACCATATCTGACCTATATTTCTGCAGATATGGGCTTTAGAAAAATGCATCTTTAATGCGACTGCACATGTCATGTGATGATGTCATCATGACATAAATTTAATTATTATCTTTAACACATCCTGATCCTGGTACACACCTACATCTACATACAGATCTGTAGTTACAGCCATTTCAAACTGCACCTGTAATATGATGTCACATGACATAGATGATGACATCATCACTTCATTTTTTATTTATAACACATCTCGGTCTCAGTACGTATTTTTTCAACCCAGTTGGACCTATGGTTCTGAAAATAAAGGCCTTTGAATGATGCCCCTGTAATGTCATATCACATGACACGTGATGACGTCATCACGACGCCACTTCAATTTTCATCTCTAAGACAGCTCAGTCTATTACAGTACGTACCATGTTTTAACCAAATCTGACCTATAGTTTTGGAGATAAAGGCCTTAGCAAAATGCACCTTTTACATGACATCCCATATGACATGATGATGATGTCATGATGACGTCGATGTTTGGCACACAGCTCATTGATGTCTCCGTCAAGTTTAAAGTCAATTGCAATCATTAAAGTGCCCACAGTGCAGGGAATCTGAAGATTAACGTGTACAAATGCTATGGACAGAAGTCTGAAAAAGAATGAAAACTAGAGCTGTATGTCTGTTTGAAAACAGAACATAGGGGTTTTTCGCATTTTACAAATGTTTATGTTTTGTTGGTCCTTTTGCAGTCACTTTTTAGAGTACTTCATGCAGTTAAAGGTTGTTCAAAATGCTTAGAATTTCAACTGATGACATCATGGTGACATCATTTCGGATTTTGCATGTATACAACATGTAGTACCATTATCCAGCTATCCACCTAGTTTCATGACGATCGGACCTTCCCTTATACCCGTTTTAAAAAATCACGCTTTTGATGATGTCATGATGACGTCACACACTTTTCAAAATTTTGTGCAAATACTTGTTACTTAACAAACCAAATACAACAAGAATTTTGTATTGTGCATGTTGCGTTCGTGAGGTATGGCTGCAAAGTCCAAAAATTCAAAAAATCATAGAAAATCGCACCATGATGTCATCATGACGTCATCTCATTTTGTTCCTATAACAGATCCCGGTCTACCCGCATATCGAGTTTCAACCCAATGAATGGAAGTGTGCAATTTTGGAAGCAGAATAAAATTTTAAGTATTAAAAAAATCATAGAAAATCAAACGATGACATCTTCGTGACATCACTTCGGACTTTGCATACTAGTACCATTATCTACCTACCCACCAAGTTTCATGACGATCGGACCTTGCCTTATAAGTGTTTTAAAAAATCACATTTTTGATGACGTCATGATGACGTCACACATTTTTCAAAATTTTGTGCAATTACCTATTTATTACCTAACGAACCGAATACAAAAAGAATTTTGAATTTTGCATTCTTGAGATATGGCTAAAAGGTAAAAAAATTCAAATATTCAAATCCACTGCAGAATAGAGGAAACATTCATTGCAACAGTTTTGGAACCAAGATAATGAAGTTCGCTGGTGTTAAATGCACTGGAAAAGTCAGTGCACAAAGTCCTAGCAAATGCTTTGGGTGAGTCCGGGTGGCTATGAAGTATATTAATTTAAGGTATTGCAACATTGCATTTTCGACCCCTTAAAGAAATTAACTATTGTTTTGGCGTAAAGAGGTGTAATGACTCCCACTATCATGTAGTTGCTCACTATATTAAGAAATCTCATTCGTTTTGGATGGAAAAGGTGGTTTGAAGACATTGCAATTACTCATATTTATTGAAGCTTCACTCAGACATATTATTCGACATTGAATGTGTGGAGATGACTAGTCTCATTTTAGGGCTTGATCATATTATGGACTCACCACAAATTTACAATTCATACTCGTGTATGCAAAAACAGCCTATGAATCATGGAGCTTTGTTCGTACATGAAATTGAACATTAACTTGACTGCACATGGACAGACTAAGCACAAACATTTTAAAATAAAATGTGGAAAAGTCCTATGTTCTTTTTATCGAACAGACTTATGTCTGGAGATGATTGATTGATGATTGATATTGTTTCACTTTTATGCATTAATTTAAATTTACTTTGTTATGGATTCTAAGTGAAAGTCAATCTGAATATGTGATTACTTCTTTTCTTACCTGTAAAGAAGCTCCATAATGGTGTGCAACAAATCTTAATGTTCTACCGATTATCTTCCGTTTCTCCGAGTCAAAATCCTGAAACCCATCAGAAAATACAATTCACTGAACGGATATTAGGGTTGGTACATTCATTTTTACCTTTCATTTGCATTAAAATTCAGCTTATTTTGACCGAATGGTAACCTCAGATGTACATGTCAATTGATTCTGCCCCCACATGAGTAATAAATGATGAAATGTTAAAAACATTTTTCACATAACCATTTCTAATTTCCTTACAGGTCCATATTATCCTCACTATTGCTGTTTCTTGAGATTTGAGTTTCACTCAATGTGCCATTTAGAATGAGACACAGAGAATAATCAAGTGGAAACAACCAAATATTCCCTACCAAATATACATACCAATTGTAAATTGTTTTCCTAAAAACCTAATAAAACAAAAAAAAATTCAACCTAAATTCAACAACACCAAGGCCAAAAAAAAAAGTCTCCGGTTTCTGGTATGGAGCTTGCCCCAAAAGTGGTGCAGCGACGCGGCTTTTTTTTTTTTTTTACCTGTTTTTTTTTTTTTTGCTTCAAATGTCGGCTGATGACTGCAAATGGTGCCCGACTAAACTTAGTGCAAATATATGGGAGTCCAGAGAGGCCACAAAAAGCTTATTCTCGATCATAACCCCATCTAAAAACACGTTAAAATTGTGCAGCAGCAGGATTCCAGTCAAACCAGTGAGTTTGGCGGTTTTGAGACATCATCTTGTATTGAAAAAAAAACCTTTTTCATTTTGCCGACGCGCATGGCTACGGCGACGCGCGCGCATACCAGAAACCGGAGACTTTTTTTTTTGGCCTAAAGTACACAAGATATTATAACTTGCCTGGAAAACATCATACTTCATGCCCACAATGACTAAAGGTAACAGAAATGGATCAATCATCTCCAGGTCCTGTTAATATAGAAGAAAAGAAAACCACACATTTCAATATATAGAAATATGCAAGTGGATTGGTGTAGAATATACTTCTTGCTGTTCCACATTAATTGCTTCATTAGCTGCTTTGGTCATCAGCCAAAGAAGCTCATGTTTCATTAAGATGTTTTCTTTCTTTTCCTTCTTTTTGTTCCCTCAAAATCCCATAGATATTGTACAGGTGATAAGGGTGCATATTTTAATAATATACTGGTATCTACAGAACCATAGGTTCGATTGGGTTGAAACGTTGCACATACATAGTCAGGGACGTGATATTGAAAATTCCTGAAAAATCAACACTGCAAGTTATAATTGTAAATTGCTGTAAGTCACAATCTAAGGGTAGGTTTAAAACCTTCCAATGTTTCGTGGCAATAAGCAAAATTGAACATGCCACCTGCAGCACACTTAAAATTTGGTTGACCAAGCCACAGCTTTAAAACATCATGCACAGCATGTACAATGTACATTACGACCTTCATTCTCGCCAGAAGAGGGCGGTACATAACTTTAATGGTTGCATGCATAGGCAGCATAAAGAGCAACACAGAGTCTGATCCTGTAGTCAGACTCCCTATTATCGCGACTGGTGACTTCATCGATTACCGGTATGTCTGTGGCGTATATTGCAGCCACTGCCAGAAACATCGGGGCAAACCCCTTCTCTCAGCAATAAGTGTTACTGGCTTCTTTAACGTGCATTATACAACACAAGGGATCTACGGCTTTACGTCCCATCTGAAGGACGAAGCAATAATGGTAAAGTGCCTTGCTCAAGAGCACAAGCACCATGTTCCCACAGTCAGACTTCGAACCCATGTACCACGTTCGGGGATACACGGTTCCAGATTTCGGACCCGAGGGGAAATCTCGGGCCCAATACGCGGCAAAATTAAAATGTAAAACAGTATTGGGCCCCAAGATTTTTCCCATCGGGTCCGAAATCTAGAACCGTGTATCCCCGAACGTGTCCTTAAACAATATATGAGACTCAATTACGCGGGTACCATACTAGACCGCAAATGTCGCGTTGAGGAAAACTCCATTCAAGATTGAAAAAAAAATTATATTCAAACACATTTTTTTTTATCACTTGCTGGGTTTGCTCTTACGAAAATGCATGATTCAGAGAGATCACAACCTGATTATTTATGCAAACCATTTTTTACGTTTGGCAAAATTCATCTTCACAGTCAAATTTGTCATGAAAATTATCCTTTTCTCAATGATCACTGAAACGGAGCATCTGTATTTGAGTTTAAATTTTAAGCTTACATGTATATGCATTTCTTTGGTTTTTGGGGTTTATTACATCACAGATATTCTTATGAACAAACTCATGAAAATTAAAAAGCCCTTAATGTCAATTATTATCGATAATTTTAGGTTTTAGATCGTCCCTCTGTCGCAGGTCACCCCTCATGAATTATGCATTTTAATTGACCTGGATGTAAAACTGGCACATGCGCACAACTTCATGTCGCTTTACACACTGGCCGAAACAGCGGTGTTCGTTCGTACCCCCCGCCCTGCAAACAGGACGCTGGGATAATCTGATGTGCTTCACAGAATCTTGTGAAGGAAAAGGCCCATGACCTCTGTATAAAGCATCTGGCTGCAGCTGTTCAAGACCGCGCAGTTAGACAAAGTACGCAAATACTATCCTAAAACTTCCCATAGAATTGCGCACATTCCAAACCAGATATGATTTCTGTTTCCTTGCGGACCATGTGGACAAAATTTTGAGCGTCGCATAATGCAATCCGACCGTTCGTGATTCGAAACGAAGCCTGAGCGAGTGACGGGAATTGTAAATTTACAACACAGATATATTTTACAGAATTTCCTACATTATTTCGCTTTTCAACGAGAAAAAAGCATCTCTAAACTGGAATACAAGAGTAATGAATCAGTCTTAACGACCGTTTCAAACCTTGCAGAGTCATGACCTTGATGACGCGCAGGTCACTGGTCATGCAAAATCCAACCAATCAGATCGTGAATTCATCAGAGTATCCCAGCATCCTGTTTGCAGGGCGGTAGGTACGAGCGAATACGTCCCCACGCAGATTCGGTGTCAGCTATTTTTTTTAAGCGAACGAAAGACTAGATCCCATGCAATTCACGCCTGTTATAATACCTTGAAAATTAAAATGAATAAAATATCAATATATCAATAATATCGATATAAAAAAAACGATATAGCGGTATTGGCCAAAATACGATATCGACGGTGCCTACCGAGCAGGACCGCAAGTGTGACACATTTGAGCGCTGCATGCAAAGAATGAGACTGGTATCCTCCAGAGAAAAGTACTTCACGATAGACTGCAAAGAATTCCCATAGTACGGCACATATATTGGTGTGTGAAAAGTCCACCGGGAACACTGTATAAAATTCAACTGGGTGTATCAGGAAATATGTGAAGAAAATTCTGTATCTCATCCGGGAACCTCGATCGTGCCTGTGACGTGATGACCATTTAGCGTTGCCTAAAACGTGATGACTGGTGAGCTTGGTGGTGACCGTGCTGAGCTGGTCGAATTACGGACTGACCCAGTGGTGTTCAACGCCAAGTCCCGGCCGTCTCGCAAGCAATTTTGATCTTGAAACAACCTCTCACTCTGTTGCTTGTATGTGCTCTCGTGGCTATCGAAGATGTGCGGGTTGAGCTTGACAGCTTTCTTTTTCATTTAGGCGACATATGCCGATGTTGTCAGCACAGTGAAATACGGCTTTCATGTGTTAAATTCACACGATGTGCACGCTACACGTCGGGTAAAATAAAACTAGGACAAGCCTAAATTGTAGTACAGGGCCTTATGGTTGCAGGCCAGTAAATCGGTCCAAAATCGCCTACACTGGCCAAATCACGATTTGCATGCCCTCAAATTCTTCGTTATTTGAGCATATTGTGGACCATGAACTTGAGGGTTTGTAAAAAATATGGGTGGAAGCCGTGCACAGGGCTGTGAGCTTGTAGTTCTGTGCAATTTGGATGAAATTGGAACCCTAACAGTGCTTTATTTTGCAATGGAGTGTAGTCATCGTTTTAATTAGCTTTAAATCAAATGGCTTTAATTTAATGTGTGTCTCAAATACCTTGGAGAGTATTTTTCCTGAATTTTTGAAGTGGCCTGGGGGCATTTATCATTGGAGTCTATGGCAGTTTATTTACTGGTCTACAAGCTTTATGATGGACATGCGGTGGGAGCAGAGGGTGTGGCATGGGCGCCTTTTTATTCAGCGAGGTTCGTGCGCTTGTCTGCTTATATACAAATGTAGGTAAACATTGGTAAGGTGTGTTCAGTAATGGAACTACATTCTGGGGGCTTTTCCTGCATGAAAAAGTGAAGTCATTTCTCATGTAACTTTGAAACAAAATCCTGACACTTGAGCATTTTACATTCAGAACTTGGAACATTGTTTACGTAAATTTTGAAAATGGTGACCCTTACAAAAAGGAAGTTGAAACAGCACCCTTAAGAGTCCACTTTCTGATTATGAAAGAACTATTGTCTTATGATGTGCACCATTTCTTTGTCATTAAATCATTTTTGTGGAAGACTGTTAAACTGGTTATTAACAACCTGTCAGCACACGAAAGGGTTAAAAGAAAAATTAAACATAATACTAGACCTGATACATTGTACATAATATACTTACAGGATGATCCCCAAATCGTTCCCTTGATCTAGTCATGATTTCTTCTTGAACGTCTGGACAAGCGGTTAACAGTTTAGTCATGACGTTTTCAATTCTTTTACGTGCAGCTTTAAGAAGAACCTCCATGGTTACCCACAGTTCATGAGGATGAGAGAGATCTAGAACCAGCATAATTGATGAAGAGCTGACAGAAAGAAACAAAAAACACAAACAAGATTTAACTAGACATATGTTTGTGGACAAACATAGGGCTGTTTCGGCATTATGTTACAGACTGATAGGTAATGCAGGTGTAGTAAAAAGAAAATGCAAATGTAGATTTAGGCCTATAGGCTGTAGAAAATGCAGCTTTAATGTGAGTGAGATGTCATGTCAAGACGTCATCATGACGTCAGTTGGATTTATGTATACGACATGGCGGCTTAGGTTCATACCAAGCTACAACCAAATTGGATAGTATTGTGCTGCAAACAGACCATATAATAGAATAATGGCCATTTAATGTTTAATACGTAAAACTCCAATTGTAGCAGGTCTTCATTCAAGGTTTCTCCCCAGTCATAAATAGTAAAGAGTTTCCTTGTAGTGATTTATTTTATTCATTACCCCTCGAAACCGGCGATGCGGGCTTAGTTCATATTAATGTGCTCAATTATAAGTGTATAGGGGTGTTTACAAAATAAAGGAAACTGAGAGCAATCTAAGATGGCATTGGCGGAAGTCAACAAAAGGCGATTTGCCAAAGATCAGTATTTAAAACCAATGCAATCACATGTGTCTAAAGCATGCACTGGAAGGGGGATGTTTTGGCAGTATTACCCACCGTATTTGGAAAAAGTTTAATTTTCTCCACATCATGCCACACGCTTGTGGTCAATTTAGAATATGTTCAATCGAATGACAGCGCGACAAAAACACGATTTCTCTTTCCTTCTCATAGTAATTCTCGGCTGAAGTTCAGAACTACTCAGTAAGATATCAGTGATGTATAGAAAAATCCCACTGCAGAAAAACTGCACCTTTAAATACGTAGCATAGGGCTTTTCGGCATTATGATTTGCTATTATACGTCCCTGACTATGCCCACGCATGAACATAAAATCTGTCAAAGTTAGCCGAAAATCGGCTAAAACGGTCACTGTGATGTGGACAGGATTTGACCTCGGCAACACGTGCTCTGCAGGCTGACTGACATACGATGTATGTGCGTAACGTACGTGTATGTACATGTACATATAGACGTTCTGTGCATGTTTTAGAGCAGAGGTATTGTCAGCCTGAAGTTTTAAGCGTGCGCAGTGCATGTCCGAGTTCGCTTATTGCCTCGAAGCTTTGAAATCTTTTAGACCTACCCTTAAATCGACAATTAAAGTAAAAACTAACATAAAAACTGCCATGGTTGATTTTTCAGGAATTTTCAAATGAAAAAGGGTCTTTTTATTATAACTTCCGGTCTGATGACGTCATTCGCCTAAAACTTCGCACACGTCTTAAGTGGGTCAAGGTCATTATATACACCAATATTTAGGCGATTCCGACAAACTTCGCCTATTCAAAATACATTTTTGCAAATGTTCAACCTGTCGCTAGAGGGCGCTCGAAGATTGCATGACGTCATTGGTAAATGATTTGAAGAATACTTTTAGCCAAGAGACTAACACCGTTAAAAGCAAGTTCATTATCTATTACCATTTTCAAATAATAAGCCACTTCCGGTTTTGGCCTTTTTCGACCGGAAGCAAGGGTCACGTGATTTCACGCACACTGAATGAAATACTGAAAGACCTCAACCTACTCTACCACTTGCCGGTAACAGAATGCTGCGGACGCGTACGGTTGATTTCTTATACATTTTTAAATATTAAAAGTGTCACAATTTAATTGCCTATAACTACACACCGGATGACGTCATCATGACGTCATCATTACACAAAGTTGTTTGAATTAGGGTCTTTGCTTGGACAAAGATTGGTGCAAATGAATTACTGGCAATGAGTCAAAAATGCCCTTTGAAAATCGACAATTTTTTTTAATTTCTGTGTACAAAGTATATGGGAAAAATTAAATATTCAAAATTCTATAATAAATTAGTCGATGACGTCACCATGACGTCAATCTTCGGGGCACATCTTCAGATGCTGGTCTAAGTGTGTGCCGAGTATAAAGTCAATCGGATTGATTTTAGTGCCCAAAGTGCCTTCCACTGTAAAAACGTGTACAAATGGTATGGGGAATGGCTGAAAAAGAAGAAAAAAAAGAACTAGATATATGTTTGTGGACAAACATAGGGCTGTTTCGGCATTATGTTACAGACTGATAGGTAATGCAGGTGTAGTAAAAAGAAAATGCAAATGTAGATTTAGGCCTATAGGCTGTAGAAAATGCAGCTTTAATGTGAGTGAGATGTCATGTCAAGACGTCATCATGACGTCAGTTGGATTTATGTATACGACATGGCGGCTTAGGTTCATACCAAGCTACAACCAAATTGGATAGTATTGTGCTGCAGACAGACCATATAATAGAATAATGGCCATTTAATGTTTAATACGTAAAACTCCAATTGTAGCAGGTCTTCATTCAATGTTTCTCCCCAGTCATAAATTGTAAAGAGTTTTCTTGTAGTGATTTATTTTATTCATTACCCCTCAAAGCCGGCGATGCGGGCTTAGTTCGTATTAATGTGCTCAATTATAAGTGTATAGGGGTGTTTACAAAATAAAGGAAACTGAGAGCAATCTAAGATGGCATTGGCGGAAGTCAACAAAAGGCGAAATGCCAAAGATCAGTATTTAAAACCAATGCAATCACATGTGTCTAAAGCATGCACTGGAAGGGTATGTTTTGGCAGTATTACCCACCGTATTTGGAAAAAGTTTAATTTTCTCCACATGCCACACGCTTGTGGTCAATTTCTAAGCCTTTTTATCGTTTTTTTTCTTCAATTTTTGCAGTCAAACTTACATGCAGTTGTTGCGTCATTTGAATTTGTCATATAGCTTTGACCTTAAATCCGATTAATATAATTAAGAAAATTGACTTTAGCATTTCTGTTCGTGAGATGTGCAATTTGTGAAAGCAGAATAAAATTATAAATATCTAAAAATTATAAAAACCAAATGATGATGTCATCGTGACGTCACTTTAAACTTTGTATACTAGTACCATTATTTACCTACCCGCTAAGTTTCATGACAGTCAGACCTTTCCTTATTTGTATTTTGAAAAATCGCATTTTTATGACGTCATAATGATGTCAGATATTTTTTTTCAAATTTTGTGCAAATACCTTTTACCTAACAGACCAAATACACAAAGAATTCTGAATTTTGCATGTTACGTTCATGAGATATGGCTAAAAGGTCAAAAACTTCAAATAGTCATATAAAATCTCTGGATGACATCATCATGGCGTCACCTAATTTTTTTTACCTATAACACATACCAAGTTTCAACCCAATCAGACTTACAGTTCTGTAGATATAGGACTTCATAATATGCACGTAAATTTTCAAAAATAAATTTAAAAAAAATTAGGTGATGACGTCATCATGACGTCATAGTCTTGGCATAATTTTTGTATGAGGGTCTTCCTTGGCTGTAACATTGATGACGATTCCAGATCGCCAAGTTATAGAAATGGTGGCTTGAAAACGTGTACAAAGTCAATGGGCTAACACATGTACAAAGTTAACGGGCTAAAAAAAAATCCCACTGCAGAAAAATTGCACCTTTAAATTTGTAATTTGTCTTTGAACTGAAACATTTTTATGAAATATTACTTGATATTCTGACCCTTAGGAATATGTTCAATCGAATGACAGCGCGAAAAAAAACACGATTTCTCATTCCTTCTTATAGTAATTCTCGGCTGAAGTTCAGAACTACTCAGTAAGATATCAGTGTTGTATAGGAAAAGACTTGCGGAAAATCCCACTGCAGAAAAACTGCACCTTTAAATACGTAGCATAGGGCTTTTTGGCATTATGATTTTTTATTATACGTCCCTGACTATGCGCATGTATGAACATAAAATCTGTCAAAGTTAGCCGAAAATCGGCTAAAACGGTCACTGTGATGTGGACAGGATTTGACCTCGGCAACACGTGCTCTGCAGGCTGACTGACATACGATGTATGTGCGTAACGTACGTGTATGTACATATAGACGTTCTGTGCATGTTTTAGAGCAGAGGTATTGTCAACCTGAAGTTTTAAGCGTGCGCAGGGCATGTCCGAGTTCGCTTATTGCCTCGAAGCTTTCAAATGTTTTAGACCTACCCTTAAATCGACAATTAAAGTAAAAACTACCGGTAACATAAAAACTGCCATGGTTGATTTTTCAGGAATTTTCAAATGAAAAAGGGTCTTTTTATTATAACTTCCGGTCTGATGACGTCATTCGCCTAAAACTTCGCACACGTCTTAAGTGGATCAAGGTCATCATATACACCAATATTTAGGCGATTCCAACAAACTTCGCAACAGACATCTATTCAAAATACATTTTTCGACCGGAAGCAAGGGTCACGTGATTGCACGCACACTGAATGAAATACTGAAAGACCTCAACCTACTCTACCACTTGCTGGTAACAGAATGCTGCGGACGCGTACGATTGATTTCTTTTGCATTTTTAAATATTAAAAGTGTCACAATTTAATTGCCTATAAATACACACCGGATGACGTCATCATGACGTCATCATTACACAATGTTGTTTGAATTAGGGTCTTTGCTTGGACAAAGATTGGTGCAAATGAATTACTGGCAAAGAGTCAAAAATGCCCATAGAAAATCGACATTTTTTTTTGTATTTCTGTGTACAAAGTATATGGGAAAAATTAAATATTCAAAATTCTATAATAAATCATTCGATGACGTCACCATGACGTCAATCTTCGGGGCACATCTTCAGATGCTGGTCTAAGTGTGTGCCGAGTATAAAGTCAATCGGATTGATTTTATTGCCCAAAGTGCCTTCCACTGTAAAAACGTGTACAAATGCTATGGGGAATGGCTGAAAAAGAAGGAAAAAAAAAAAAGAAAAAAAAATCTTAACGAAAACAAAGGCTGATTCGGCAAAAGTGCCGAAACAGCCAATTATGTTTGTGTACTAACATACGGCTGTTTCTGCAATTTTATTGTATGTTTATATGTCAGGTAAGACTGATATGACGTGTGGTAGAGTGATCAGGACCAATACAGTTCTGTAGATATTGGCCTTCAAAATATACACATTTAATATGCTGTCCCATATCACTAAATAACGTCATCATGAGCTCATTTCAATTTTCATTTATAACACATCCCAATCTAGGTACATACCAACTTTCAACCCAATCAGACATGTTGTCCTATAGATATAGGCCTTCAAAATATGTACTTTTAATGTACTTTTGATGAGGTCACTGTGACGTCACTTAAAGTTTCATCCTGGTCTAGATACCAAATTTCAACCCAATCAGACTGGTAGTTCTGTATACATTGTCCTTCAAAATATGCAGTTTTTAATATGAAATCACATGTCACGTGATGATTTCATCATGACGTCACGTAAATGTTCATCTCTAACACATCCCGGTTTAGGTACATACCAAGTCTAAGTGTGTGCCAAGTATAAAGGCAAATCGGATTAATTTTAGTGCCGGTAACACAAAAAAAACGTGTTCAAATGCTAAGGGCAATGACTTAAAAATAAACTGGAGGTTGTGGTTGTGAACAACCACAGAGCTGTTCCCAGTTTTGATTGTCTATTGGACCGTAAACAAAATGATTTAATGATTTGGTGTGCCCAAATGATTTGGTGTTCCTATTAAAACCCTTATGGGAAATCATGTGAACACGATAACAATGTGGTATTAAGCTCAGCAAACAAAAACGGGGGAAAATGAGCTTGCTGTTCGTAAACTGGGCTTAAATTAGGAGAAGGGTCGCCTAACGTGGGATACCTGAATAAGTTCAAGAAACACCCCCCCCAAAAAAAAAAACCCCCAAAAACATGTTTGTAATAATTATGTCAGTGTCAAAATATTTTCTTTCCCGTTAATTTTCTTTCTAATCATTTAGAGAATGTCCTTGAACTGTTTCAAGTCTCTCACGTTAGGCAACCCTTCACTAATTAGGCTAATTAACAGACACCTTGTTTTCCCGTTTTTGTTTGCTGGGCTAAATGTCACAATGTTATCATCGTCACATGAATTTCTGTAAGGTTTTAATAGGGTTACTGTGCCAGTAAGCAACTAGGTGAATTTGAAGCTCATCAATACTGATGTTTGGCAAGACTTCTTGAAGATATATGGAGACAAAGTAAAATGCGCCCAACTTTGGGGTATAATAGGAGCCATTTTGGATTGTTACTATATACTAATAGTTATTCAGTCGCTTATATGCGTTAGAAAATGTTGTTGAAGTAAGGATGTGAAGTAGAATCACCAAAATAAAATTTTCAAAAAAATAAAAAAATAAAAGATATTCCCAAATAAGGGCAAAAATATACTACACGGCAGGTATTAAAGATTTATGCAAATTAGGTATACAATGTATTTAGGGTCAAAATTAATGGTGGCATCCACCAACATGTTGTTTGTTATGGTTCAAAGAAAGGATCTAGCATGGATGCCAGCTATTACCAAAAAATAAAGTGAAATTATTCTCCAGGGTACTTTTCCACATTTGGCTGGCCTACTATTTCAGCACGGATGTGCAAATGCCCTTTTCAAAAGATTTTAACCCCCCCCCCAATAAAAAAAGACTGTGCTACGCCCCTGTGAGGGGGTTAAATAAATTATACTCACAGAATATTGTCTTCTTTTATGGGTACCTCTACGAGCTCAGACAGAAATGTACCACCTCCAAGTTCCCAAATATGTGCAACATCCTTTGTCTGTAATCATAAGTGGAAACAAAATGTAACACAGATTGAAGGCATGTAGGAACATTCTTAAATATCTGGGGAAAAAAGATACTGATTTACTAGAGAAAAAAAAATTCTGAAAGTGGAGATAGGGCATGTGCAAAATATTGTGCAAAATCGTTGTGTAAAATTGTATTTTTGGAAGAAAATTACAATCACTTCAGATGATTTTCAAAGGTGCGTATGCAAGCACACTCTTATAAATTTTGAAAATATTGTTTAAGAGCAACCAAAATAGAATGTGGTGTTTCCACAATAGCCACTTTAAAACAGTAGATAAGATCAATTCCTCAATTCAATATGAACAACTAGAGATCTACAAGTACATTTGTTAAGCGCAGAGTTCAGGCTCGCAAATTTTTTAAGTCATTGTCCACTTTTTAAAGTTGTGAATGTGACCTTGACCTTTGACCACAAAACCAATCCTAACTTGCCTGTATCCAAGGGCAATCCCCTTCTAAAGTTAAACCCAAATCACATTTCTAACTAAGTTATCATCCGACAACCATTCATCTTAAACTCACCATTGTGACCTTGACCTTTGACCTTTTGACACTTAAACCACACCAACTTGCATACTTCTGAGTTAAGCGCAGAGTTCAGGCTCGCAAATTTTTTAAGTCATTGTCCACTTTTTAAAGTTGTGAATGTGACCTTGACCTTTGACCACAAAACCAATCCTAACTTGCCTGTATCCAAGGGCAATCCCCTTCTAAAGTTATAATCCCAAACAACATTTCTAACTCAAGTTGTCATCTGAAAACTAAGCTGCCGGGAAGGATGGATGGACGAATGGTCTAGCCAGACGGAATTGTGGGGTGATAGCATTGTGTTCCCATTATCCCTTTTTCTAAAGATTCTCTTCTGGGGTGTTGTTTTTCTATTGTGAAAATAGTGGGGTGATGTGTCCTGAAAGGAACATCACCCCACAAGGGGGTATTTTCAGAACGGACAAACTACTAGACGGACAGACGCCGTAGGCAATGACGATACCCCTCCAGTGAAACAATTTCTTTTAATCTGAAATTCATAAATACCTAAGGCAGTTTACCCATTCCCATTGGTAGAGAGCCGTCACATGGCCAGTCATTGTCCAAAATTTACACTTCACCAGCGCAGCTGCATTTTGCGCGATATCGCACAGTACGTGCGATGCTCTTGCCAGTCTCCTTATAAAGTAAGGAGTTGTAGAGGGACATACCCTCGGCTTCGCCTCGGGTAATTATCAGCATTCCATAGACTCCAATAAATCTTAAACATAGTGTTTAAAGGGAATATACAACATTTGCAAACATCGAAAAATAAAACTACCAAGTTTTTATGAAATACCTTACTAGGATGTTGGTAAATGACAGTCTCAAGCATCTTGTAAAATTATGGCACCTGGTGTGAAGTCATTTTCGAGAAAATGGTATTTTTGTATACATTTCCAACGGTGGTCGGCCGACCAGCATTGGAAAAACCTAACTATTTTTCAACCACTGCTCCAAATTTACCATTTTTCAGTCCAAATTTTGTTTGCTATTGGTTACATGTTCATGAACGGGTGCAGGCCAGTTTAAGACTGGTTCCCTTGCCGTACAATTTTCCATCATCTATAAATTGATCCTTTTTATCTTTTGTGGAGTCAGGGAACCAGACTACTTGAACATTTTTGTTTTTCTTGGTTTTTCCAACTTTTCGAACACAAAACTTCAAAAATGTCAGTGTAACATTATTTGATCTATTATACTAACCCCTCAAATAGTTCATTTCCGAAAATTACAGCAAAAGCCAATGATGTGCATTCCCTTTAAAACCTTCTAAGAACACCTTAATTCCCATTTGATGGCATCATCAGTTATAAAGTGCAAAGTAAATATTGGTTTAATTCAGAGAGGATACATGTTCATCAAATCCTGAAGAAGAAGTGTGACATGGAACCAGAAATAGAAAATGCACACCGCTGTGGACGTCCAGTGCAAGGCAAGACCTGCCACATCCTAGCCAAATTTATATATCGCCCAGAACGTCAAGTGGTTCTCCTTAAAAGGCAAAGCAGCCCTTTCCAGGTGTGGTATATTTATGATTGAAGATCTTCCTGTGGCTGACCTCATGTTGTGTTCACACTTTTTTTGTATTTGCATAGCGCCCTCAGAGTTGAAAAGAGAGGGCAGCGCCATGTTGGAATTGTATGAATAAAGTGTTACCCTCGAATCTGAATTGTTCTCTCTCAGTACTGGATTTGTAACCCATTTATACACCTTGGACCTAACATTAACTGGCGACGATGGAGGATTATATAGATCATACTGAGGTTTCTCACTAGCCATGGCATCAATTCCATTGCCTCTATTCTTCTCATAACTCCGGAACTCCCCCAGTTCCATGGACTCAGTGGCGAGGTATGTTTGAAACGTGCACTGTTGCATCAGCTGCAAATACATATCCTGCCTTACGTAAACATGCTTTGCTACTGCACTACCTTGGCACTGGAAGGTCAGCGCACATTCCATACGCTTCCACAAGAGAATGCAGGGGAAAAGGATGATGAATATGATTTTACTCTCTGGGTGCTTGACAGACATTTCCAACCCAAACTGAAAGTGGTTGCAGAAAGATACAAATTTCGCAGACGTTCACAGTTTCCAGGAGCCATACTCCAGAGGCAGACGTACATGCAGTTACACACCTAACACCCTACAGCAAAATTGCAAACCACGACCAGCCTCTGCAAGAATCTAGACCAGCACAGCTGCATTCACAGATTTGCTAACGCTTTGGGGAACAAATCACACGAAGCAAATGGTCCTTACTGCAAAGCCAAGTACGCTATTGGGAAAAATAGGGCATTATATATAGACACGTGTTTGCTGGTCTGGACAGCGATTTCCACCTACACGCAATTCGGTTCATGGAGTATTCACCAGTGATAATCCTGTAGCACTTCATCCAGACTATCAAGACTTCAACATCTTGACCATTCAGCACATTTCACATGCTGATAGTGTCAATTGCTCCGTGATCCTTGGCCGATATGTGCAACTTGTGATGACTGTTGATACTAGGGCTGCTGTGTCAATAATTCCTGCATCGTCATTGGGAAAGTTCTTTGCACACGAGGCATTGCAACCTACAACAGCTAAACTCACTACTTACCTGCACGAACCAATAACAGTACTGGGTACATTCCACACCACTGTTTGTCTTGCAAGTAATCCTGAGCGTTGTGTTCCTGTGCACTTTTTCGTTGTTCAGTCTGGCTTCAATATCGTGGGACTAGACTTGATCCGACGCCTGGATATTACAATCACAGGTGGTAAGGTCATGCACGTGAATGGCAACGACTCACAACCTCCATCGTCAATTCCTCCATCTCCAACTGCAACTACTCCATCCAACCAAAATTCAACGGACATGCGCAAACAATACCCAGATTGAGCTCTTCAATGAGAAAGTTGGACTTGCAAAAATCTATGTACACAAAGTCAAAGTACGCCCATCCCTCCCTCAATCCAATGTACCAGAGACTGCTGAGCAGGGACTGTGGGACAAAGTGGCAAATGAACTCAAATGTCTCAAAGATGCAGATATCATCGGGCGTATCAACACCAATGAATGGGTGTCACAAGTGTTTTCAGCTCCCTTGACATGAATTCTGCGTACCATCAACTACTACTACATGAAGACATGCATTATCTCACAGCCTTCATTACACATGTTGGTTTGTTCCGCTTCAAGAACTTCTGTTTTGGATTAGCATCTGCACTGTCGGCTTTCCAAAACCCCATGTCGTGCACTCTAAGTGGTCTTGATGGAGTACAATGTTACCTTGAAGACGTTGTCCTCTTCGGTCGCGATCAAAAGCACAAAAATGATGCAAATCTCTCTGCAGTACTGAACCTCCTTACAGAAATATGACAAATCCCACATCAATATGTCAAACCTTTGCTTCCTGGGCCATACCGTTTCGTCCGAAGGCCTTACTATGGCGAGCCAAAGTAACATTTATATATCTCTACAAGATTTAGAGATATCTCTAAAAGATTTAGGACATCTCTAAAAGATTATTCTCCAATTCATCTAGAGATATCTCTAAATGAATAATAGAATAATGGATTAAGAGATATCTCAGAGACATCTCTAAATCGTGTGTAAGTTATTCAGACACTTTAAATACTTCACCTGTGGAACCAATGCAATACACATTAGGACATCTGATGCCATTCTCTCCTTCAAAGCATCCATCGAAACACATCTGATGACTCTGATTTTAGCTTCATTCATTCTCTTTATTGTTATCTGAGCTACACGCATTCCGATCACGTGAGTGGCATGGGCGTTGGTGTCCATTCGTCACATTTTCATGTATACAGCTGAATTGGAGATGCCTGGCAATGTAGCCCGACATTCATGTTCTTCACATGGGAGGAATGCACCTAGACACCGGCTGCATTTCTACATATCTGTTGTTTATTTTTTCATTTGTAATTTGTATTTTTTTTTTCTCTCTCTATTGGTATAATGTTTATTTTCTGAGTAAATTCGATTAATTGTGTTTATAATGCCTTGAACACCTTAATAGGTGGATATATGTGCTTTATAAATCTTCATGTAGTATTATTTGATCCTGTGTAGAATCAAGAGGGGTTTTGGGGTCTATCATACAAAGACTGTCCTGATGCAAATGATGTACTCAGTATAGACAGAGGTTTAATACGGTTGATTTGATGATTATTAGCAGTAGTATTTAATTCTTGACGACACTTTAATAGCCGTAACAGTCCTGAATCCTCCAGTTTTAATACGATTTTGCACATCCCCTAGGGAATTAGGGTCAGAAGATTCTAGCCGATTCAGATTCCAGTCAGATTAGGTTGTGGTGATTCCCCCCAAAATCATTCGGGCTTATTGTTGGTGCACTAATTCCCCACCTCTACTCGGACGCCATGCTTTTCCCACAACTAACTCCCCCCAAAACGACAACTTTACACACGACCCTATGAGACGTGCACA